TGATCTTTGTGACTCACCTCGTTCAGGAAGACCAGTGTCTCTTGATAATGTTGTTTTACGGGCAGAAGTGGAAGCAAATCCTTGTTAAATGATTGAAGAGTTTTTTGCTTTTATGGGTATGGTCTTCAACTCTGTTAGAGTCCCAACAGTCTCATTCAGAGGTGTAATAAATTATACCCTTTGGTCTTTATTGATCCTCTAGGACAGAGAAGGTGAATCTTTTTGAGTCTGCATGCCATATAGTGAGCATAATTACCTTTAAAAATATTTGTGTGCGCCAAAGTTTTGGGCTTCAAATAACAATATTTAAAGAAATTAAATGAAAATGCTTTAATTAGAATAAATGTAAAGAAACCCATTGAAAAAAGGTCTGACCAGATGATAGCCGAAATGACGATTGAAAAAGATGGGCAATAAACCAAAATTTGTTTTTTTCAGTTAATGGGACACCAGAAGACTATTGCATTTAACAATTTAGCCCATGCCACCATGCCAGCTTTGAGTAGCCCACTTGACTGTTTGTGGAGTGCTTGATGTTATATAGTTTTAGGGGGTGAGGAGCTCACCCCCACCCAAGCACCAAGGTGCTTACTATTGCTTGCACCGAGGCACACATCTGCATGTGAAGCATCTAGAAAGGCGGTAGACTGATACATGTTAAAAACTGACATTTGGAGATGATTATGTTGCAAATGGTCAACAATTCTGGGGGTAGTGTGAAACCCCTCATTTAGAGCTTGAATCTTACCCATTGCCATACATATCGGCTGGCGTCCCGTTAACCATAAAGTACCCCAAAATTGTATTACATGTTACATGCCAAACGAGTCTCACAATGTACAGCAGTTTCAAACTGCTCTAAGGGTTCAACTATACAAATGTGAGCAAGAGAATTTTCCAAGCAAGTGAGAATATGTGGCAAGAAGAGGTGATGACATTTCACACACTGTTTCTCGCTCTCGTGTGTGGTCATAATAAACGAGAGCAAAAAACAAGAAGTGTGTGTGAAATGTCATCACCTCTTCTTGCCACATATTCTTGCTCACTCACATCTGCATAGTCACACCCTAAGAGGTTGACACGTCTGAACTTTATTGGTCCTTTATTGATACACAGTCTAGGGGTCACCACTGTCTCATTCAGACCTAGAATCTTACCAAAGTGACCTTACCTTACAACAGAAATTAACTTTAAAATTGCAAAATACCTATGTGGACCTTCATCCATGCCATGTTGCTGTCTCATTGCTTGAGACTGACTGATATTGGAATCTCCAACTATACCTTTCAACCCATTTATAAAATCTTGGGATAATGTTCTTCTCTACATAATAAACATACAATTTTAACTCTTACCTTCACAAAAAAAGGAAACATTTTATAGAAGTTTAAAAAGTTATCGCTTTATAAAATTATATAATACACATTAAGTGACATTAATTACCTGTAAATAGCATTTTAAATTAGAAAAACAAATAAGGTTAGTTGTAGCAGACGAACGAGGAAACTGTACGACTCTAAACATATTGAAAAAATCGACCTCTAGTGACGGAATTTAGAAATTACAAATATATATAATTATATGATATTCACTTTTATACAACTTCTAAATTTTATTATTACAATGTTGTAATAAATTGCGTAATATTCTTGAAATTGCTTATTTTTACAAATAATTTAATAATATAATTCTTAAAAATAATTTTAAGGAAATAATTGTCTATGTTTAGAATCTGAATTCTCTATTTATATCAATATTTTAAATAATAATATTTATAATAAAAGAATATAAACATTTTTGATGTTTAAATTAAATTTTTAATAAGTTTCTAAATTATTTATGTAATATTATGTTAACATTTTGTTGTAATAATAAATAAAATAAAATTTTTTAATTAAATATTTTTAAAAACATGTACAGAGGTCATAGGGAAGATTATTTCACGTGATAAAAACGGCGATAAATAAAAAAAATCAGTTTATAAACATTATAGATAAAGAATTAACCTCAGAAATGTTGGCTTTCCTGTATAGAAATTGTTTTGCGGAGAAGCCGCTTTGCAGGAAACTAATCATAAGATCAATCTCTAACATTTTACTCTCTTATTTAATTAAAGTCCATTCCTTTCTAAATGTTTAATATTAAATGACTATGAGAACTGTCTCAATTTCATTCGTTATAAAGAATTAATTGGGCAAAGGAATTACATTTCTGAGAGGAAATACAATCATAGAAACAAAAATTACCAGAGTTCGGATTCTTGAGACTTATCACATTTCACTTACTTATTATTTTTCTTAATTTTTAAAATATGGATACCGTTCTTCCCACATTTATCATTCTTTACAGTTTACAATATTCCTCTGATCTTTATCACCTTTAATGCATACTTTTTAAACCTAAGTTGTCCTCGGATGTTAATTATTCCCCGGTTCAAATATAAATTTATGAACTTAACAAATACAGAAAACTCTAGTAATTTTGCAAGAGAAAAAACAACCTGAACACTTTTGTATTGTCATCCTAAATCTCTCAAAATGATATTTCATGCAATATTTCTGTTTAGTTGTTTAAATGACATAGTACAAAGTTCAATTAAATTCGATAAATATATCGAGTTTTTGTAACAAAATCTCGTAACAGATGGCGCCACACAATTTTATTCCTTATATTATAAAAATTAATAAATTCTAAAAATTTTTTCGTTTAAAAAACTTCTAAGAACCACAAGTGACGTTCACTCTTTAATTCCGACTTCGATAGAGTTTAAAAAAACAGAGAAAACCAGAGAATTATTTTCACTATCTCTTACTTTATTATGTTATCCATATATATTTCGCTATTTTAGCCTCTTCAGTGGATATTACACTGTTTAGATGCCAGTACTATTATAGTTCATCAAGCTATCCCAGCATGCATCGACATATGCTCCGGTATTTAAATTTATACAATTTGCATGTTCTTTAATACAGTAATGTTCTATGATGCGTCTTTTTACAAAATTTTTTTCTTTATACAAAATTTTAATATTACTACGATCAATAAGACAATTTTTAATACTGCAGTGTTGTTGCCACGGGGATTCAGTTCTGTTCAATCGAATTGCCGCCTCATGCTCCTTTAGCCTCACTTCCAGTTTTCTTCCTGTTTCTCCAACGTAGCTTTTCCGTTCTGTGCACGTACACATCAATTCATATACGACTTCTGCAACTTCTAAAGGATTCTTCGATTGTTTTTCATTTGCTTTATTAATCAGACAAATACTGTTATTTAATTTATTTTTTTGTTCACCTACTAAATTGACTGAGAACAATTCTTTAATATAAGTTTTATATTTTTCATAAAATTTGAAAATATATGGAATTTTAATATATAAGTTTTCTATTTTATTATTTTTAACATTATATCTATTATTTAAATACGAATTGTACCACTTACGTATAAGCTGTTGTGGATAGTCATTCAATAAATATTTTTTAAAAAGATTCTTANATTATCGCCAAAGAGACGGGATCGCAATGGGATCAGTAATTGGCCCAAAGCTTGCCGATATTTGTATGGCATCAATAGATGAAAAAATCTTCCAGTACCAAGGTATTGTTTTTTATACTAGATATGTGGATGACATATTAGTTTTGTACGACTCAAATAACGTTACAGCTGAAAATATCAAGGATTATGCAAATAGTTTAAATAAGAACATTAAATTTACTTATGAAGAAGAAAAAAATTATGAAATTAATTATTTAGATGTAATAATCACAAGAAAAAATGAAACATTGCTGTTCCGAAAATACGAAAAAATATGTAATAATAATAAGGTGATTAATTACAAGTCATATTCTTCTATAGGAATAAAAAGAAATGTTTTTTTGATGGAATTAAAGAAAATATTTAATAGAACAACTTTAAAAAAATATATTGAAATTGAAACTAAGAATCTTTTTAAAAAATATTTATTGAATGACTATCCACAACAGCTTATACGTAAGTGGTACAATTCGTATTTAAATAATAGATATAATGTTAAAAATAATAAAATAGAAAACTTATATATTAAAATTCCATATATTTTCAAATTTTATGAAAAATATAAAACTTATATTAAAGAATTGTTCTCAGTCAATTTAGTAGGTGAACAAAAAAATAAATTAAATAACAGTATTTGTCTGATTAATAAAGCAAATGAAAAACAATCGAAGAATCCTTTAGAAGTTGCAGAAGTCGTATATGAATTGATGTGTACGTGCACAGAACGGAAAAGCTACGTTGGAGAAACAGGAAGAAAACTGGAAGTGAGGCTAAAGGAGCATGAGGCGGCAATTCGATTGAACAGAACTGAATCCCCGTGGCAACAACACTGCAGTATTAAAAATTGTCTTATTGATCGTAGTAATATTAAAATTTTGTATAAAGAAAAAAATTTTGTAAAAAGACGCATCATAGAACATTACTGTATTAAAGAACATGCAAATTGTATAAATTTAAATACCGGAGCATATGTCGATGCATGCTGGGATAGCTTGATGAACTATAATAGTACTGGCATCTAAACAGTGTAATATCCACTGAAGAGGCTAAAATAGCGAAATATATATGGATAACATAATAAAGTAAGAGATAGTGAAAATAATTCTCTGGTTTTCTCTGTTTTTTTAAACTCTATCGAAGTCGGAATTAAAGAGTGAACGTCACTTGTGGTTCTTAGAAGTTTTTTAAACGAAAAAGTTTTTAGAATTTATTAATTTTAATATTTGTCTACACCGATCCCATTGTTTTATTATTCATTATATTATAATTAAAAATCATAAAAGTTACTTTCTAAATAAAATATCATAACAGCCGGGAAAGTTACGCAACTCGTTGCTGGACGTTTCTTAATTTAGTAAATTATTAAATCTCATTTTTAAAAAAAGTTAGTTTTCAAGCAAAGCGCCATGTTTTAATCGATGCCGTTTCAATCTCGCAGTCGCCGTTTACTTACAAATAAAACATTAAACTGATGTATAAACATTTTATTTACAGATATGAATAAAAATGTTTACATCCTTTTTTTAAAACGAAAAACGATAAGGCCTTTTAAAGACGAAGTGGCAGTGGAAATACATACATTTACATACATACCGATACACGTTCGTACATGTACAATTTTAATATAAACAATCGGTAAAAAGCGCAATTACTGTAGGCCTCTTACCAAAATATATCCGGTCACGTGTTTCTGCCACACATACTGCGTTTACGCTTCCACTTCAGAAAATATAGGAAATAACGAATCGGAAATGTTCCGCCATTTTACTTGATCAGTGTGAACTCTCGGAAACATATATAACTATTTTTTTTTTTATTTCTATGCATCTACAACTAAAAATATTGCATATAAATTAATTATACAATATATTTACACGTTGCAGTTCTTAATTCCGTGACGTCTTTCTTTATACAGTAACAATTTCCGGTGTCATCCAAATCTGGAGTTGTTCTACATTCCCTTTGGCCTACTGATTGGACAAATGATTACCCATCTGACAATGAGTAAACCGACGAATTCTATGTAATTAAAAACGTGTTACACACATCAGAAACTTGTGCCAAAATTTTGGCCACGGCACTTAATTTTCGAATAGTTTTTAAGCCTTTAAAATCCTAACATCATGATGTAAAGTGCTTCCTTCCTTCCTCTTTCCGTATAACATATATGGCGCTCTCTACAAAGTTATAAGAAGCAGACAAACAAAAATACTAAAGTAGCCAGTTCTAAATGAGGTCTTTCGTCAATTTATTTAATTTTTTTTATTTTTATTTTTTGATTTATAGAATTATAACTTTTAAGACAATTAAATATTTTGATTGAATATTTTTAATATGGAAGGCGTATTTTAATAAATGCTCACGTTCCTGAGGGTGACTCGCATACCCGTAAATTGGGTGTCGTCTCTAAAAACTCTCTGAATTCCGACTCGATGTCGGTGGTGGTACGTAACCGGCGATCATCAGTGGCCAAATGATTTGGGGAACATGTTACCAATTCTTGAGATACCCGATTGTCAACAGTTAGTTCGACTCTCTCCTCTTCCTCCACTTGATTGACCACCTCTTCTATTGTGCTCTTCTGTTCTTGAGAATCCTCCGGAGGATCTATGGAAACTGTGACCGGTTCGTCCGATACTGGTCGGAAAGTAATGCCCATGGCTTTTCTCAGACATTCTACGCTGACAATTTCTGAAGGAGTTGCCTGTTTTAAACATACAAATTATGGATTAAAACTGTTTTGAGTTATTTACATTCACAAGAAATTATTTTTTGTACAAATTCCTTACTTGAGAAGCAATGTCGGCCAGTTTCTGTGAAACCCTCTCGGCTGTAATTTTAAATAGATTATTATTAATTATAAAATATACTGTACCATTATTTTTAAAGAAATAAAACAAAAAGTCTCACCTAGCTCTTGTTCTGCTGCAGAAGGACCCTGTATGTTTGCCAAATGAGGTGGAGGTTCTGCACTTAACCGTTCGTGTTGAACTTTGGCTAAATTCTGTAATAGTTTAGTAGTTGAATCTAGTTTTCGCTGAATCACTCGCCTCTGTTCACTCAAGGAAACTTCATTTTGTAATTTTTTAACTGATTCATCATTTTTTGGAGCCGATTCTCCTGCCATTTACATAGAAATTTTATAAGTATCTTTCCAGTTCTAAAACAAGATTTTAATCTATAACACTTACCAACATTATCTAGAAGAGACATATCTAAATCTACAGAAGAAAGAGCATTCAAGGAATCAAAATCTACTCTAATATCACTATCATTAGTTGGCTCTGTAGCTGTACCAATTCCTTTCTTTTCAGTAGATAATGTTTCCGTCACTAAGGCTGACAGATCATCTAACTTTTTCTTTTCTTCTTCAGCTCCTTTTCTTTTCTGTTTTTTTCATATTCATACAATTATGCTTTGTTGATTAAACAAACTTAAAATAGATGTTATATACTCATAGATAAAATTCTTACCTCTTCCAGTAACTTCATGGTTTTTGAATGCTCTCCCCCAGTTAATATATCCAACAGATTATCCACCATATTCATAACAAAGTCACAGTCTTTAGCAAAACTCATAATACTATAAGAGGATATATTTTTAAAAACTTGTAAATTTCTATTGTTATTAATTAATTATTATAGTTATTTATGTAAAATATTGCTTACCTTTCAGCATATTGAACCCCAGTATCATCTCCATATGCAGATAAAACTAAATCAGATTCTTCTTTAGTAAGATTGGCAAACATGGAATCATACTGAGGACTATAGGAAGTGAATGAGCCATAATTCAAATAATTCACTATAATAAAAATAAAAAGTAATTATATATAATCTTCATTTTTAATTTTTTTCATTATGAAAAAACTGATTTGTTATCTACCTGGTTTCACAATGTTTTTGGCATCTTCTCGGAACCTAGTAATAGATCCTGTCCCTTGAGTCAATTTTCCAGTTAACATTTCTAAATTGACTTTCATTTCTGTTTGACCTATCAACATAAATTCAATTTTAAAATTTTAGAAATCTTTTGATGTTATATAAGGCATTAAATGAAACATACCATTGTTCTCTTTATCATTGCCTTTTCCACTTGAAGGATTAAGAAGTGCAAGTGTAGTGCTTCCATTTTCATGTTGCCTTAAGAATCCATACTAGAACAACCAATTTCAGATAAGTTTCTTAATTTATTAATATCAAATTGTTTGTGTGATATACAATGTATGACAAAAATAAATGCACACCTGTACATATAATTAACATCCAGGAATAGTATGGAAATAAAGAAAAATTGTTATACTTGTGTCATCAAGAAAGTATTTAAGGAGATGGTCGATACAATACAAAGTAAGATATTACTATTATGTTTGATTTTATTATTATTTTTAATTAGCTTTGTACTTATATCTAGCTCTTAATAATTTTGATGAGCGGCCATAAAATGTAAAACAGCCTGAAATACATCAATTTATATAAGTAATCAACCAAATTAAATATTTTAATCAATTTTCTGGAGTTTACAAATTGACTTTCAAATTAAATATAATTATACCCTAAGTTTTGTATCATTGAATTACTGGTAGAGTTCCTATATGCCTGCAGATGCAGGATTATGGAATTTTCAAGAATTATCTAATTGGATATAGTTGGTGATCCCAACAGAAAGGAAAGTATTTTTAGCTTTTACAAAATTTGCAAATTTGACAGCAATGAAAAATGGGTCGTATACAATAACAAGAAGAGGTCATTTCAATGGCTTGATACTGATGTGAGAGATCGGACTTGGAAAGGGGAAAACCCCATAATTTTATTTGGGAATTTTTCGAAAAAAAATTCATTTGTCGTTTTGAAAAGGAAATTTATTTAAATCTCAGAGAAAAAAAAACCTTTTCCATTTTATTACCAGAGGATGAGTGCAATTCTCTTCCCGGAGTCGTTTCCTTTCCCAGGGAACTCAGAATGTGTCACTGAGAACTACAACAAAAAATTCACTATTGGTGGAAACAACAACATGACTTGGAAATAAAAAGGAAACCTGAAGGAACAGTGAGAGGGGTCGAAAGTCCGCGAGAATATTCCATGTGTGCCAGTTGAAAGGATTTATCATCATCGCTCGTTGCCGTGCGCTCTTCCTGAATATCCAGTGTTCCTCCAGGAACACCTACAAAGAACCAACAGATCTCAACTTTCGATAGACTTTAACCGCCATCCAAGGCAACAGAGACATTCCCAAAGCTCCTCAATGACTCCACAGACATCTGGAAATTCGTACATAGTGCTTCAGGTATTTATAATGACCCGCAATGTTATGTAAACTCTCTCTCTCCAACTCGGTTCTCGCAAAGAAGCTTTAGGGGAAATACCCTTTTGTAGAACTAGTTTAATAAATGAATTTTGTTATTGTTAGAATTGTGTTAGGTGCACTTCCTCAAGCAGTCTCCATCCCGAGTCCAACTGCCCAGATGCGACTGCTCGCATGTAAAGATGAACGTAACGATCTCTGTGTCTACCCAGAAGACAGTGGTGTCAGTCCTGATAAATTAAACATTGTAGTCTTTGCTGACGCAATGTCGACCCTTCGGTCCTGTGGTGCCACAGCATAGAGGGGGCCCTTCGGCATTGTCACACTGATAAACCTCCCAAACATATGCTGAAATCAAGCCTACATCCAAAAACAATTATGATTACAATTTTGTGGTCATTAAACAGCTTCCTCAAACCCAAGTGAAATAATCATAACAGACTCTTACATAAATGAACCGGACATTGTTCATGAGAAAATCTGTAATGGTGGAACTTTAATTATATCCTTTGCAGAAATGCATTATGCAGGATCCTGTAAGCTCAGCTACTTAAGAATAAATGATATTTGTACTAAGGTAATCATTTAAAACAGAAAAATAGTCCTAAATAATAATATTACATTAAATTCAACTACAATGAAAATATTAAGCCAGTATTATCTCCATTTGCTTTCTGTTTAATAGATCTCGCTTTATTCTATCCACTCAGTGATAACTAATATTTAAGTGACATCATTTTTTCAAATGTTTATATTTTGTTCTGAATACTTTCTGTTTTCAAATTTTTTTCCTTCTTAAATTTTACATGAAATCATCTAAACTAAATGGTTAAATTTTTTTCTTTTCAAATTTATTGGTCAAATTTCTTGTGTTTTCATTGATGAATTTGATATATTTCTTTAAACAAACTTACACATGTAAACTTAAAAACTGTTATATTAGGTCATCAAGGATGATATTTGTAGATAATAATATTGCCTCTCAGAGTGCCTATGAATTATTGTTTAAGTTTGGTGTTAGCAAACAAACAATATTAACTCATTTAGCTCAAATCAGTAAAGTGAAAAAGTTGGATAAGTGGGTTCCACATGAAACGCTTGTTTAATGTTGCTTTCTCATCACAAATCTGATCCAAGAATAGAATTGTCACTTGTAATGAGATATGGATCCAATATGACAATTGCAAACATTCAGCTCAGTGGCTGGACAAGGATGAATCATCAAAACACACTCCAAAGTGCAATATTCATCAAAAGAAGCTGATGGTGAGTGTTTGGTGGTCTAGCGCAGGTGTGATCCATTATGATTTCAAGAAACCTGGCTCATTGATCACAGCAAAATATACTGCAACCAACTGGATGAAATGATGCAAAAGCTTAAAGAAAAACAGCCTAGATTGGTCAACAGCTCGACTCCTATATTATTGCATGATAACACACAAATGACCACACTCTGCACAAATGACTGTGGCAAAACTACAGGAATTCAAGTTGAAACTTCATCATCATCCTCTATACTCACCAGACCCAGCCCCCATTGACTACCACTTCTTCTGTAATTTGGACAACTTTTTAATAGGAAAACAATTTAATTCTGACAATGCTGTAAAACTGGCCTTCCAGGAATTCATTGACTCTTGTCCGCCAGGGTTTTATACCATCAGCCTGAACAACCTGCCACTTAAATGGCAAAACTGTATAGACAATACGGATGCATACTTTGATGAATAAAATAATTCCTTATACAGTGGGTGTTCAGATAGCGAATAAATCGGATAACAAACACTTTCGCAAAAGATTTTTATGATTGGACAATGAACACATGTTTGGATAATAAACACTTCACTGAACTAACATAAAAAGAAGCGACAGAAAATAACAAATACCAATTGATTTTCCCTTGTCTTCGGGTAGCAATTCTAAACCTTTTGGAGCGCAGGAGACATCAACATCGATACTCAACCTGATACCGATCAGATAATATTCCTCCGAATTTTGAAACTCTCCCTTGTAATTCCAGCTTTTTGTTTACCTTTCTGACAAATAATCTTTTATAGTCTTCACGAGACTGTCGGACGGTCACTTGTTAAGTTTTGCATTGGGGTTTATTTACGAAATGTGAAAGTTTAATTGTCCCATTGGATATTCGTTAACATTTTAATACCAAATTTTAAATTTCATCCAGGCCTTGCATTTAAATAATTTTTTGTGGGCTAGTTGATTTTTGTGGCTTTTCAAACTTTTTATTTAAAAAAGAAACTGATAATATTATGAAGCCTAAAAAGAGGAGTGCCAAGAACTGTGCTCACCATAGAAGCCAAGTAAGAGATAATAGCCAAGGTAGAAAGTGGGCATAAGATGTTTGATGTTGCTAGGCAGTATGGCTTGAACAGGCCTAAAGTAGGCACAATCTTAGCTATGAAAGATATATCAAGAAGTCTCAAGCTGCTAATGGAGTAATGAAAATCACATCTGAGAAATAAAGAGCATTTTAGAGCTCATAATGGAAGCTGAAACTGATCTGACAACAGAAGAACTCTGAGAACTCTCAAATGAAGAAAACCAAGAAACTCAGAGAGATGTGTTTTCTTTTGACAAAGAGGAAGACGAAAGAGGAGAAATGTCAACATCTGCTACTGAAGATCTTTTGACGAAGTGGGAGGATATCAGAACAACAATAATCCCAAGTGGCATTCAAATCAGAATAAAGTTAACAGGGTTGGGGATCTCTACAATTACAATACTATTAATTACTTCCGAAAAATCCTGAAGAAAAGAGAAAAGCAATTGACATTAGACAGATTCTTTAACCCCCACAAACAAAAAAAACATGACTAATAAAAATGTAAGACTGCATACATATGTATTTTTACTATTACATATAAACAAACGTAGTAAAAGAAGTATATATTTTTTATTTTTTGGAGTGAATGAATTAATTAAATTTCCATAAAAACCTATGGTAAATCGATAATTGGTTAACGAACAAAGTCTTGGAACAAATTATGTTCATTAACTGATCACCCACTGTATTTGTAAGTTATCAACCAACTTTGCCTTTTTTTCCACAAATTTCATCCTTGATGACCTGATACAAAAGCTCAATAAATGAACAAACAGCAATTTGGTCACTGATAATTCAGAAACTGTATAAATTAAGTAATAGTCACTTGTTCAAGTTAAAATAAGATCATCATAATTTATATGTATTAATTTTTCAGATATATAGAAACAAATATTGAACTAAAACATGTGTGTTTATATATGGCCTATTGGAATCAATACAGACACACTGTTTTATTTATCTCTCACTTTATTTTTTCCCTAATATAATAAACTGAATCAATTCATGATAACATCCAAAGATTCAAGAATGCTTTTCATAAAAGATTTAAATAATTTTTAAACACATTTGAAATATTTATATAAATTTATGTAAAATTAGTAATAATTATACAATTTATTCTTAATTATAATTTGAAAACAAAATTTTGCTTTAATAACTTAAACAAATTCATGTAAAATTAATCAAATTAGTAAAACTAGACTTAAAGTAAGTGAGAATTTCCTATGATAAAAAAATAAGTTATGTCTTACTCTGCTCTTAGGTCGAGATAATGTTAATCGATCAGCTGCTGCTTTGGCTGCTTTACGTGCCTCTGCCAAAATTTCTTCTGGAGAAAGATCATCATCCTGAGAATCAGTATCATTTTGATTCTGAGTCCAACTAAAATTAATTTAATTTTGTTACCAACTAATGAATGAATTCATATTTTAACAAATTTTAAAAATCTCCTATATTTAATGTTAGAAAACTTATATTAAATAGTTATCAAACTTCTCAACAACACCATGTTATAGCAAAATTAAACAACTACAAACCTTTACGGTGCAATATTGAATAAAATCAAGTTAAAAAGTTCCCACATATGTTTTCGAACCTAATTACGGTTCTTCCTCAGGTGAAAAAATCATTCGATGGAATGCAAAGTTTGAAAGAGATTCGTTCATCAAAATCCAAGAATTCCGCATCTGTCGTCATCAATGGGCATGCGTATTCTGATGTAAAAGCTTTTATTTATATAGCATGTTCTCTCCGTCATATATAATATATAAGCAATTGCCACGCTAGGGATAGAGACACTTCATCTTTACAGTTAATACACTTGTTGTCATGGGCCATTTTATATATATAAATTGCTTCGATCCATCTTAGATGCTCAGTATGAGGTGTGGTGTAGATGATCCTAGCTTCGCTAAATCTTGGATCGATGTCCGGATCCGTAGCACAACGAGCCAGTGCAGTAGATAATCTTTCGTGCTGTATGTCAGCCCTGTGTTCCTTTATTCTGACACCTAACAAGCGCTTAGTGAAGCCAATGTATAATAATTCTTCATTACAGCAATGATCACTCAAAGCGATGACATATACCCCCGATAGCATGTGATTGTTGGGGCCATCCTTATCATTACGGAGTATATTATATACGGTAGGACATCTCCTGTATGTGATGTTGATGTTTTTCTTTTTGGCAATCTCAGAGTACAGGTTCTGTAAACACGGGTTGTAAGTGACAGGAACTCTGTCTTTAGGATCTGGTCTTTCGTCATTCAGCAATGCATCTTGTGCGGATACTTGGGTATGACGTAGTTTCCTGGATAAGTTATTCACAAGGTTGTGATAACCATGGCGTTTCGCTATATTAGATATTGTTCTAAGCTCAGATTTTAGAGCAGCCGTCGTTGATGAATGAGTATAGGCTCTTTTAATTAATGTGTTGAACGCTGCCATTTTATATCGGAAAGGATCACATGATCCTATTGGTATGTATAGCAGTTCCGCAATAGGTTTCCTGTATACCTCCGTGCGGATCATCGTTCCATCCACATAAATGCTAATATCCAGAAAATGAACATGTGTGTCGTGTGCTTGATCCAGCTGTAGAGTTAAGCCGTATCTGTTATCATTGACCGATTCTAAGAAAGCTGATACGTCAGACTTAACCTTCCATAAAATGAGGATATCATCTATATATCTCCTGTATAATATGATGTTAGAGAGATGGAGGGGGAGGATTCTTTCGTCTAGTTGACGTATTACTAATTCGCATAAGTCCCCTGCAACAGGGCTCCCCATCGGTACACCCCTAGATTGCATGTACGTTGTGCCTTTGAATTGAAATAACGAGTTGTAGCATAAGAGGTGCGACATCTCTAAGACTTGTTGCCGTAGGTTAGAATCATCAACTATTCTGAATAAGAGATCCCTGAGGGCTTCGCATAAGTCAGGACAACAGATTTAACCAGTGGTTGATAAAACTAGAGCACCAACCCATAATTTGGAAAAGCTCACACATTCTTTGATTTCTCCTTACTTGCATGACTACCTCTATACAGTGAATAGCAGTGAACAACTCCTATCATACCTCAAACTGGTCGACACCCCTCCACAATTCCTTACTGTATTTGATTTTAAGTCTCTATACCCTTCGATTCTTCTTCCTCCTACATTTTGTGCCCTCAGGGATCTCTTATTCAGAATAGTTGATGATTCTAACCTACGGCAACAAGTCTTAGAGATGTCGCACCTCTTATGCTACAACTCGTTATTTCAATTCAAAGGCACAACGTACATGCAATCTAGGGGTGTACCGATGGGGAGCCCTGTTGCAGGGGACTTATGCGAATTAGTAATACGTCAACTAGACGAAAGAATCCTCCCCCTCCATCTCTCTAACATCATATTATACAGGAGATATATAGATGATATCCTCATTTTATGGAAGGTTAAGTCTGACGTATCAGCTTTCTTAGAATCGGTCAATGATAACAGATACGGCTTAACTCTACAGCTGGATCAAGCACACGACACACATGTTCATTTTCTGGATATTAGCATTTATGTGGATGGAACGATGATCCGCACGGAGGTATACAGGAAACCTATTGCGGAACTGCTATACATACCAATAGGATCATGTGATCCTTTCCGATATAAAATGGCAGCGTTCAACACATTAATTAAAAGAGCCTATACTCATTCATCAACGACGGCTGCTCTAAAATCTGAGCTTAGAACAATATCTAATATAGCGAAACGCCATGGTTATCACAACCTTGTGAATAACTTATCCAGGAAACTACGTCATACCCAAGTATCCGCACAAGATGCATTGCTGAATGACGAAAGACCAGATCCTAAAGACAGAGTTCCTGTCACTTACAACCCGTGTTTACAGAACCTGTACTCTGAGATTGCCAAAAAGAAAAACATCAACATCACATACAGGAGATGTCCTACCGTATATAATATACTCCGTAATGATAAGGATGGCCCCAACAATCACATGCTATCGGGGGTATATGTCATCGCTTTGAGTGATCATTGCTGTAATGAAGAATTATTATACATTGGCTTCACTAAGCGCTTGTTAGGTGTCAGAATAAAGGAACACAGGGCTGACATACAGCACGAAAGATTATCTACTGCACTGGCTCGTTGTGCTACGGATCCGGACATCGATCCAAGATTTAGCGAAGCTAGGATCATCTACACCACACCTCATACTGAGCATCTAAGATGGATCGAAGCAATTTATATATATAAAATGGCCCATGACAACAAGTGTATTAACTGTAAAGATGAAGTGTCTCTATCCCTAGCGTGGCAATTGCTTATATATTATATATGACGGAGAGAACATGCTATATAAATAAAAGCTTTTACATCAGAATACGCATGCCCATTGATGACGACAGATGCGGAATTCTTGGATTTTGATGAACGAATCTCTTTCAAACTTTGCATTCCATCGAATGATTTTTTCACCTGAGGAAGAACCGTAATTAGGTTCGAAAACATATGTGGGAACTTTTTAACTTGATTTTATTCAATATCGCACCGTAAAGGTTTGTAGTTGTTTAATTTAGATAGTTATCTATAAATAGAGATTTTTATCAGAATTATGTTCTATAAATCATATAATTAATTTTTTTTGAAAACAGAATTGAAATATCTTAAAAAGTTTTAATCATGTAACAAATTTTATTTACATAATTATTAAATTTGAAATTTATATAAATTTCCATACAACCAATTACAGTAGAGTCCCATTCAATGCGAGGGATTCATTATGCATTATAGGAAATCATGTTATCAAAACCTGCATTATCACATGATTTAAGAAAGTTTAAACCTTGACCTATAAGTTAAAAAAAAAACATATATCTCTGATCGACGTAATTCAAGGGTGTTGCTTGCTTTATTTGCACATTGTACGAGACTCTACTGTAATTTTATAGTAATTTTATGTATCATAAGTTAACAATTCTATTGTAATCTAAATTTTAATTTTTGTTGTTAGATATAATCATGATTTAATTTTATAAAAATAATTTAAAAATTTACCAAAAAAATGAATTTGTCAACTTTTACAATGCAATAATCTGGATATTTAATCAAATACTGTCAAAAATTTCCAGGTTACAATCAGGTTAATTATTTGATTTCACAATTAGAAAAGTTAAACTGCAGACAGGCAAAATACTATTTGATATTATCACCATCATTTTAAGTTATTTAATAGTAGATAACCTTTACAGTTCATATAACATACAGTTTACATAATTTGTCAAAATGACTATATGATAACAACAAACCATTATGATTTAAATAATAGTACATAATTAATAATGATTATTTTAAATCATTCTTAGCTCAAAATGATTTAAAATAAGGGTGTTTATCAGGCAAGAATGATAGTGTAGATTTGACTATTGTCAACAAATGGCAATTAAAATTTCTGGAGCTAATTAAAAATTAAAACAGAACATTTTTTATTTTATGTTGTATGATTCTGTTGTTATTAATTTTAATGAAGCATTATTGATCTGGATTGCTCTACCATCTGAAACATTTGTAGTGCCATAAGAAACTGGTTACAATGTAAATGTTAGCAGAGACCACTTTACAATTAGATTGTGTGTCAATGTAACAAACTGAAAAGCAAATGTCTATAGCCATAAACAAACTACTTTATATTAACTGTAATATTTTAGAAACATCATATATGAACACATTAACACTGTTAAGGGTTTATTGGCAAGCCAACAAAACTGCATGGATGACATTAACATTTTTAGAGCTAATTTAGTAAATTGAATCTATAAGTATATGCACATACTTAAAAAATACTATGTTTCATTGATAATCATCCTGCTCATTTATGCAAATCAAAAGTTAAGACTAAATTTTTCCTTCCAAGTTCCTTACTTCTCATATACAGCCATCAGATCTTGGGATCATCAATACAGTCGACCCCCCTATAACACGGTAGATACGCTCCGTTCTTTATGAAATAGATGTTCTAAGAGTCCTTAAATACATGAGCCAATCACAGCCCGGCATGTGTACAGTTTACGGACTATGGCTGTTTGAAAGGTTTTCTTCCATAAAATTAATCGATTCTAGACTAATTCGACTCAACATTTCCAAAATACATATAATTTTTTGGGAATAATCCATATAAACTACGCTATAAACAAAAAATTGTAGGATTACTTATCGAGTGTGCACCGTTCGACGATGCCATTGTTTAAGCTTGTTTTCGTCGTGGAGCTTGTCATTGAATGGTGCTCGTGTGCTTCCTGATAAATTATTTTTTTTGCGAAAAATTCAATGAACTTTGGAGACAGCATTAATATAAATATAATTTTTATGGACATTAA